TCGCAGTATTTCTCAATTTTAGGAGTGCGCACAGGCGTAACCTATGTTTCAAAATCTCCATAATTTGAAGCGAAAATCACTCAATAAATTTTTAACGGTGGCGGTAGTAATAATCATGTGCTGAAACCTCAGTTTTCTTTAGGTTCTGCAGTGTTTGGTGCAATAACAGGCTATGCAATTTTTCCAAAACACAAGACTTTTAAAAAATTACTTAGCAAAAATCTATAAAAGCAGTTGATAAAAAGAAAAAACTGCATAAGTTGGCAAAAGGTTAGCCCTATCTGCTGGCTATCAGGGCTCCTTCGGAAATCTCATACAAAAATTTTGAAAATTAGCGAAAGTTGGACATGGTAAAAACGAGTGGTTGCAATTTGCAGCAAATATCTCGTCATTCTCGCAACGAAACACAATGGGAGTTTAGCAGCTGGAAAGAGGAAGAAATTCTGCATCGGATACATTTTGAAGTCTTTGTTTATCTTCATTCTAGCGTGATTGCCGATGGATTGAAAAAACTGCCAAAACTTTTGCACCGACCTAATATTTCAAAATTCGAAGAAAAATTGTGGTATTTGTATGGCTTGCTTTAGCGCCATGCTGTGTCCGCCGCGCACCACCGCGCGCTTGGAGCAGCATTGCTGCAATCATTCAAAAAATCTGTGGGGATGTAACTAAGCGGGGAGGAGATGTTTGCGGCTCAAGAACGCGAAGATAGGTAAGGGATGTAGATTGGAATTATGTAAGAAGTTTGAAAAAATCATATCAGAGAGCAAAAATTTATGGCTTTTCCTTTTCACAGCCACCTTTTTCACAGAGCTACCTCAGGTGGCCGTCCAGCTGGCCATAAAGCCAGCTTACTCCGAAATAAATGTTTGCCACTGATTTACTTTATAGGAATTTTTCAAAATTTTTGATACATGGTTCCAATTCTCTATAGCGCATCTATACACCAAGTTTGATGTCATATTATTGCGTTTTGATTGCAAACAATGTGCCGTGCCCTGCTTTCGACTTTGAGAAGCGTTTTTTGATGTGTGTTCGTTTATATATGACGATGAAATTACTCAACTCAGGCCTCAACAGCCACCTCTGTCATTGAGATACACTTATAGCATCATTTGCTACCTGCTCACCTGTTCAACGAGTATGTACCAATGGATCTGCTTTATACATAAAATGATCACCTAGAGTTGCTTTGCACAGCGACGAAATGCCTATGTCAGGATAGTAAAGTGATTTTGAAGCTACAGTTTCTGCAAGAGCTGTATATTAGCCAATTCTTCATTTCTTTTGGGCATTCCTTGCAGCAACATCGAAGTCGGGTATTCTGTAATAACCCTACATGTTATACCATCACACTGAAAGCAGTAAAAGCGAAGAGAAAAGACTAGATGAGAATAGTTAAATTGCAATATCGTCTCTTATTTCAAAGAAGTCTTCTTTGGCGATAAAAAGCATGGTATGCGTAAAGTCGAGTAGATTTTTCGCTTTGAATGCAGTAGCGTCAAATTTGCGCAGAACATATTCGGCATCACGACGTGACTATTTCCTCGGCACCTCAAGTATACCATACTTAACAAATCTATTCCAGTGCAGCATTTTTCGCGTTAGAAAAGTTGTTTTAAAATTATTGCGTATTTTGCAGAATTTCAATTTAGAAAGCTATATTTTAAGCTATTTTTCACCCCAAGAAGCTATATATTTCAAAACAGGTCCTTGTCAAATTGGATGCTCTCCCGCTTACACTTATATCATAGAATACCCGAAGAAGGCAGCTTTTTTCCTGTAGTTAGCTATTTGATGACAAGACTAATTTTTTCACAACTTGGTAGAAGGTTCCACATCCTAGTTAACGTCTTGGTGTCATGACAGTTCATCATTTCACTGAAGATACAAGGCAATATAAACAACTAGCTGGCTTACCCGGCTGCGCCCGACCCTGTCAACGCTATGATTAAGGTCTTATCCCTATCCCTGTAAAACCTTTCTTTGTGCCCACTTCTACATGCAATTCTCTATTCCCGCTGTGTCAGTAATTAGCATACCCACCTACCTCCCTCAACAACCCCCAGCTCCGTAGCTCAAACTTTGCAAAAAAAAGCAATAAAACCGGTAAAAGTAAAGATAATTCTGAAAACTGATGGCGCTATTCGGCTATCCGGCCCCAAAATGTTATTGTGATGGATCTTGCTCAACGGTACATGGGGATTATTAAAGCCGCTGATGACGAATATCGTAGTCATTTCGCGCGATAGCGCCATTTTCTGGGTTTACGTTGGGTACACATAAGAAGCTAAAATCATGGGTTTCGGCGGAACTTTGAGGGGGGCTAATTGACATGCTGATCACGAATATCATACTCCTTCGGCATTTTGAGGCGATTTCACTGAGTTATGGTAGGTATACTGCAGAGGGGCGAAATCTCAGTTTGGCTGAAACTCGGCTTAGAGAGATTCGACCTTTCTGACCACGTCTAAAACACTCTCGTTGCGTTTTGAGACCTTTTCGCAGAGTTACGGTAGGTACATGGCAGCGGGTAAAAATCATGAACCTGCCTGAAACCTTGGCAGAAAACCTAAAGTGCCGTTTCAAGAATATCGTGCTCAATCACGATAAAGGCAATTCGTGTGGTATAAAAGATTCCCACGACCGTAGTGCTTTCCCTTATAGGACCACTGCCGCGCGCGATACACCCTTCGGCGGCTTTTGCCTAAGCAAAAACAGGGGAAGGGAGATTTGCCGCGTGCGTTATGCGTTGGGAGTTATTAGGATGGCGTTAGAGACCGCTATGCAAAACGACCGTTTCCCCATCTTTTGAATAACTGGGATCTTGGCCCGAAAGTGAAAAAATGTCCTTTTAAACCAAGCAAATCACCACAACTTCACTATTGCGTTATGACAGTGAGCAAGCATCATATTCATAAACGATATACTTGTAACCGTTACAGGTAAGATTTTGAGCAAATCTGGAACTTCGACCCATCCACACCCACCGTAACCCAAGAGCACTATCCTGCGAAATCAGCATGATATTCATGTTTAGTGGGCTAAATGACCACCCTAGACGAAGTTCAAAGCAAATCTATGTTTTCGATCCCTGCCATATAACCACCACAACTCTATGAAAAGGTCCCAATATGCAGAGAGAGAGATGGTATTCGTAATTAGCATGTCGAATAAGCCATATGGACCGAACTCCAGCCGAATTCATGATTTTGACTTCCAACTGTACACCCATCGTAACCACACGGGAAGACGTTCTGCGGAGAGAGTGTGATATGTGTAATCAGCATGTAAAGGGCCGGGCATACTTCATGCGATTTCAATCGCGACGCGAATTGGCAACTCGCCAGAAGTCTTCGGATCCAACATTAGCAAACTGCACATGCATAGTGTGTATAACTTACGTAAGCTGATGAAATGCCCTATCTTCTGTACATTTATAATGTGCTTACAATGAGTTACGGTCGCCTGGAATATTGCTAAATCGCGTCGCGATTGAAATCGCTTAAAGTATGCCCGGCCCTTAAGATAACCCTTATACAGAAGTTTGAGCAAGCTCTACCACAAAAAAATTTTGGGGCCCGGATAGCCGAATAGCGCCAAACTAATATCGAACTCGGAATCCCCATGCTCGATTACCCCCCTGTGCAAACTCCCAGCCCCATAGCTCAAACTTTGCAAAAAATCGATAAAATCGATAAAAGTAATCGATAATCCTGAAAACTAATATTGTATTCAGAATCCCCATGCTCGACTACTGCAAACTCCCAGCCCCGTAGCTCAAACTTTGCAGAAAAATCGATTAAATCGATAGAGGTAATCGATAATTCTGAAAACTAATACTGTATTCGAAATCCCCATGCTCACTTACCCCCCTGTGCCAACTCCCAGCCCCGTGGGTGAACTCTGCAAAAAAAATCGATAAAATTCGATAAAATCGATATCGATCGATGACGAAAAGTAGCCTATGACACCCGCCGGTGCCCGATGTGTATGTATGCCAAGTTTGGTCCGGATCGGTTCAGAAGTGGAATTTTCTATTCGGAACATACATACAGACAGACATATACATACAGACATACAGACAGACAGACAGACAGACAGACATTCAGCTTTATATATAAGATAGATGACATTGCTTGGCTTTCTTTGTGTAGACTACCCTAAATTCACGCGTATAAGACGCGAGGGAATTTTTTCCAAAATCGACCCACCCAGACATGCCAAAGGACTTTGCAACCAAAGGACACTATAACGTGCTGTTTGTTCCTTGAGAGAATCGTGCTATGTAAGGATTTCTTTCCGGAATAAAGTGAAGCGGCTGAGCGGCTCGCTTGAAAATTCGAAAAAGTGCGCCTTATACTCGTGAAATTCGGGTAGTTTGACTTACAAAAAAAAGATTTGCAGAATTAATGTATTAGGTCGTTTCATAAGTTCGTAGCGCTTTCATTCTCGCACTCATTTCTTCAAGGGGCGGTTGACTCGCGGCAAGTTGCGTATATCATTGAAAAGAGCTGATTATGTTCTCCAAAACAAACTAGTCACCTTCGGTGGAAAGTTGATATGCTTTGGTTTTTCAGCTTCTAAATAATAGGGTGAAAAATCATTTTCGGCATTTGTTCATAAAAAAAAGCATTTTGCGCAGGATTTTTTTCTGATGATGGAGTTTTCTCGTCAGGATGAGACAAAAAAGAATTTAAATACTTTGAAAACAAAGAGTTTTCAGGGTGTCCAATTTACAAGACTTTTCGCAGGTTGTGCAGATCTACCATATTATCGTTTGTTCTAATCCGGCTTCTGTTTTGATTTCCAATACGATCTCAAGCGGTAACTAGACGACTTTTCGGGAACAGACCAGCTGAGCGCGCAGCAATGGAACAAGTATTGTAAAATAAAAAACGCTGGTCCGAATTTTGCTAAAATTTTATCATTTCTTTGACTTATCAAAACTCTACGAACTCATGAAACGACCTAATAGAAACGTATCAAATGATGCTGACCTACCTACAAAGCTGATCCTGTGGCCTAACCAACGCAAATCTGTCTCCACTGCCACCTTTGTAAGCCTCCCTTAACATTTCATTTGAAAATAGCAAGACGCGCAACAGGTACCGTACCTGTTCGTTGTGGTAGACAGCAATGGGTCAGTGTATTTTGGAAGCTGGTCCTTAGGTCGCTTCATAATGAATTTTTCTGTGTTTCCTCCCGTATATGCTTCTCTTGAGTAAATTATTTATGCTTTATCACCGCAGTGTACCTTTTCCTACCTGTTAATGGTGCGGCTTTCAAATGGACCAGCGTATCTGTCCCACTGATCTTTCGGTTTGCTCAAAGCGAATCTCTCTCCGTTTTCTCCTTTGTAAGTAGTGCTGAAAATACAGGGTGTCTCAAAAAAAACGTATCGAACATTTGATCTTTAATAACCTCCCTATATGGAGAGCTTTCGTGGATCTTTGAGTTCATACGATAGAGCTGGGTTCAACTTAGATTTGCAGTATAGAGCGAACCACCAATTCCTCTTAATTACTGTAGGATTACGGTAGGAATTTCCGACTAATTTAAAGCTTCTGACAGGCGAGAACTGCTTCTAAAAAACTCCAAAAAAACCGAAAAACGTTGAACTGAAGTTTTCGGCGATGCTGAATCTTCTTATATATAAAGCTGAGTGTCTGTTTGTCTGTCTGTATGTCTGTCTGTCTGTATGTACGTATGTTCCGAATAGAAAATTCCATTTCTGAACCGATCCGGACCAAACTTGGCACACATACGCTACGGGCCCCGGCGGGTGTCATAGGCTACTTTTCGTCATCGATCGATATCGATTTTATCGATTTTTATCGATTTTTTTGCTGAGTTCACCTACGGGGCTGGGAGTTGGCACAGGGGGGTAATCGAACATGGGGATTCCGAATACAATATTGGTTTTCAGGATTATCGATTACTTTTATCGATTTTATCGATTTTTTTGCAAAGTTTGAGCTACGGGGCTGGGAGTTGGCACAGGGGGGTAATCGAGCATGGGGATTCCGAATACAATATTGGTTTTCAGGATTATCGATTACTTTTATCGATTTTATCGATTTTTTTGCAAAGTTTGAGCTACGGGGCTGGGAGTTCGCACAGGGGGGTAATCGAGCATGGGGATTCCGAATACAATATTGGTTTTCAGGATTATCGATTACTTTTATCGATTTTATCGATTTTTTTGCAAAGTTTGAGCTAGGGGGCTGAGAGTTTGCACAGGGGGGTAATCGAGCATGCTGATCACCCCCAAGGGGGGTGATCAGCATGCTCGATTACACCCCTGTGCCAAATTCCAGTCCCCTAGCTCAAATTTTCAAAAAATCGATAAAATCGATAAAAGTAATGGACGGTCTTGAAAACTAATATTGTATTCGTAATCTGCATGCTCGATTACCCCCCTGTGCAAACTCCCAGCCCCGCAGGTCAAACTTTACGAAAAAAATCGATAAAATCGATAAAAGTAATGGACGATCCTGAAAACTAATATTGTGTTCGTAATCAGCATGCTCGATTACCCCCCTGTGCAAAATCCCAGCCTCGCATGTCAAAATTTACAAAAAATCGATAAAATCAATAAAAGTAATCGATAATTCTGAAAACTAATATTGTATTCGGAATCCCCATGCTCACTTCCCCCCCTGTGCCAACTCCCAGCCCTGTAGGTGAACTCTGCAAAAAAAAATCGATAAAAATCGGTGAAATCGACATCGATCGATAACGAAAAGTGGGCTGTGACACCCGCCGGGGCCCGAAGTGTATGTGTGCCAAGTTTGGTTCGGATACGGCGGAGCCGGGTAAGCCAGCTAGTTTAATTATAAAGTTTCCCGCTACCGCACTCCTTATCTTCCAATGCTAAGCGCACTGAACGCTAAATTTTTAACTGCAACGTTGATTTAGTAAATTTTGGAAAAAGGCCAAAAATTTAGCGTTGCAGTGCGCCTAGCATAGGAAGATAAGGAGTTCGGTAGCGGAAAACTTTGTAATTAGATTCAGCATCCCCGAAAACTTCAGTTCAGCGTTTTTCGGTTTTTTTGGAATTTTTTAGAAGCAGTTCTCGCCTGTCAGAAGCTTTAAATTAGTCGAAAATTTCTACCGTAATCCTATAGTAATAAAGAGGAATTGGAGGTTCTCTCTATACTGTAAATCTAAGTTGAACCCAGCTCTATCGTATAACACCCAAAGAGCGAAAGCTTTCCATATGGGGAAGTTACTAAAGATCAAACGTTCGATACATATTTGGAACACCCTGTATTTCGACTCCAATGACTATGGCGGCGAGTTTTGACAATATCAATACCGCATACGCGCATATGACATTCTGCTAGGAAAGCAATGGTCAAAGTGATTCTTTCATGTCAAAACTCCGCAATCATATACAGAGTGTCCCAAAAAGGTGTGCACACTGTTTGATCGTTAATAGCTCTCTTGCTTTCATGTCTTTTGCCGAGCTTGAGGTACCATTCTGTAGAGCGAGGTTAAACTCAAATTTACAGTATGGGACGAGTTTCCAACCGCTTCTCATTACTGTAGGATTATGGTGTGAATTTTCAGCATACAGCGTCACTGTAGAATAGGCCTTACGGTGAAATAATTTCGGTGAAAAAATCTGAAAGTTTGTGTAGCAAGGTTTTCAGGCGCGCTGATTTCGCCACTAACTTTTCACCAGTTTTTCGAGCTCTCTTGATGGCGTATTCACATTCCTGACGAACATTGGAAAAAAATGTTGCCTTAAATCTAAAATAACTTATGGAAGAAGAGCTGTACTGAAGTGCAAATTTCACAATTAGAACCAGCGACCTCGATTAGCCCAGTTCAAGAGTTTCTGACTTGTTTGGATTTCCTTCCGAAGCAAAATACCGCTTTCAATGCCTCAAATCCCTCTGGAGGTTTCTACCGTAATCGTACAGTAATGAAGAGCGATTGATAATTTGCTCCATACTGTAAATCTAAGTTGAACCTCGCTCTACAGAATGATACCTCAAGCTCGGCAAAAGACGTGAAAGTGAAACCAACAGAGTTATTAACGGTCAAACAGTGTGCACATCTTTTTGGGACACCCTGTATTTTAATACATGTGTGCGTTTCACGCTGCTGTACCTGTTCACGGTGATTTTATCCATTGCGTCCGCATTCCGATTGAGTTGGTCCTTTGGTCGGGTCATAATAAATCTTTCTCCGATTCCTCCCTTGTAAGTTTCCCTGAACAAAATGTGTTTCATGCATTTTATCTGCTCTTTACTTATTTTTGGAAGACAGTCAAATAGCAGAAAAATCTTTCGATAACTATGGCACCTCCTAACTGAGGTAGACAGTCCTTGTGCACCACTAGCTGTGGAAGCCTAATTACCCTAATTTCACGAGTACAAGGCGCGGGAGGTTTTAAACAGCCAGCCCAAATACGCCAAAGAACTTCACAACCAAAGCCTTACTGTATATTGCTTAAGAGAATCGTACGGCATAAGGATCGCTTTCCGAAATAATTTAAAGCGGCTGAGGGGCTTAGTCGAAAAATCGAAAAAGGTGCGCCTTATATGCGTGAAATTAGGGTACTGCGCGCTTCTGATTGGCCGGCCTAGCGGCGATTAGGTAAGCGAGAAAGCTGGGCTGAAGTTGTGTTTTTGCGATAAAGTATGTAATTATCAAAGCGGAAGAGTTACTTTTTCAAATCAAATATGTACTAATTGAACTTAATAATTAATTGAAAGTGATTTTAGAAGTTCTAGTTCCCTCGCACGCTTCGTGTGGTACAACACATGAAAACACGTTTGACACCTAAACTTTCGCTGCGACAGAAGTAGCAGCCTCAAATATATATTGAATATATGCGCATCTGCGCATAAGTTTTCAGCAAATGCCTTTGCGGAAAACTTGTCCGTTTCGGATACACAGCGCCGCATGGGTGACCTTGCCGCTGGGGCAGATTATAGCTCCAGGACGGAACGATGCAAAAGGGCATACACTTTTCCCCAACCTATACTTCCTTTTTTGATCATTTGATTTAGGTCAGTTCATTTTCTCACTGTGTACTTGAAAAGTGAAGCTACACGAACTGCGCAAGAGTTGCTTGTTTTGTGAGCAATCTCAAAATTTCAAATCACGTTCTGTGGCAGCTGAACTTTCAAGCTTAATCAAATGATCTCAAAGATTGAAAAGAAGATTTTGTTGCTTATGGAATCACGATGGGAGAAGGAGAACGCCACCACAGAACTGGTAAACGAATCAATCTTTTGCTTTCAGTCTATTTCAAACGTAGCAGATGAGTCAGTTAAAGAAGCGAATATGATACCTCGGATCTGGCTTTTTGACACAGACTCTTTCCTTTGTTCGAAAATCTATCAGCGCTGCTTCTTTCATATTCTCGCCTTTGACTTGTACAAGAGCTAACAGCTTTGTTAGATAATGCGTCCCAATTCAACGACCTACGCTTTCGAACCTGTTCCTTTGAAATATTATATCTAGTTAGCTCTTACATTCCACCGTCTTTTCCAATAATTGTTCTCCGTCTCATTATGATATTGAAGTTGTTGAAGTAATAAGCATTTCAGTTGTTTCTGCTGTGATTTTTGATTTCAAGACTTTAGTTTTTGAGGTACAAGTAAAGAGTCTAGGATTCAGTAGAGACTCCAAAATCAAAATTCCGATAAAACTTTAGCGGCATAGGGGATCTGGAAGCCGACTAGCGCTGGGCCCCAAACGCCGTCCCACGAAAATGGAGAAAAGAAGGGGGAGTGAGGGGGGGGGAGAGATTGCAAATTTGCTTCTCTGTAATTACCAGACGTCAAACAGATGGGTATACCTGTTCGTAGTCATATTCTCCAGTGCAGCAATGTTTCTTTCAAATTGATCTTTCGGTCGTGCCGTCGCGAATCGCTCGCCTTTTCCTGCCTTATAAACTTCTCTAAATCTCTTCCTTATCTTATCTGAACTTAGCATGTTTGGAGCTACAACGACCTACCTGTTGATAGTAATGCTTTCCATCAGACCAGTATTCCTGTCAAGCTGATCCTTTGGCCGAGTTAAAGCAAATCTTTCTCCAAATCCTCCATTATAGGCCTCTCTATAAATAAAGAAGAGCTTCCCTCAGTCGAAGAAAGTACTGTACCTGTTAACGGTGACACCTTCCATCGCACCCATATGTTTTTCAATCTGATCCTTGGGTCGCCTCATAAGCATTCTTTCTCCGTTTCCTTCTTTAAAAGCTTCTCTAAATTCGTCACTCAACTCATCAACCGGACTTTGGACATGGAACTTTCTACCTGTTCATGGTCATACTCTCCATTGGACCTGTACTTCTGCCAAGCTGGTGTTTCAGTCTAGTCACGGGAAATCTTTCACCGATTCCGCCTTTGTAAGCTTCCCTCAATGACAATAGTAACAGCGTAACATATAACTAGCATGCTATTTGATTATCTATTCAGTACACTCAACCTCAAAAGTGTCAAAAAAATATACTTTTGTCTGCCAGAGAACAACTCAAGGTGCATTAGAATGAATGAAAATTTTCGTACCTCTTTGTAGTAGTATATTCCATTGAATCAGTAGATTTGTCAAGTTGAGTTTCGGCCTTGCCGTAGCAGAAATCTGAAATCGAGTTGAATCGTCGTCAGTGTCTGTTCAAAAAATCTGTTATTTGCCTTACAACATTGAAAGCCTGAGGCCCCTGTCAGACTTCACGCGATTTGATCGTCGCGACTCAATCGCCGACATTTCCATTCATTTTCATTTCACATTCAAAAATCTCGGGCTGGAAAAGTATCACAACCGAAATGCAAGTTGAACAGCATGGAATAATGTTGTAACAGTTGTCTCGTCGCGATTCAGTCGCGACGATCAAATCGCGTGAAGTCTGTCCGGGGCCTGAGAGAGAACGCAATCTTTCAAAATATTCTGCTTATTTTAAAATCAAATACTATCCTTTCGTACAAAGTCAATCTCGAGCCAAAGAATGAATAGTAATACAAATCGCAACATGAGTTCTGCTACCAAAACATGAAACTTCTTGGTTTTTGGCTCAATAGAGCTAAACCTGGAATTATATTTCCGAAATCTTGGGTTATAATAAAAAATGATGTTGCCAAATTAAAAAGTAGCTCAGCGGTGCTCTACCCATGGTTTGTGTGAGGATGAGGATCTTAGGATACTGCAGACTGGAAAGCAAAAACTCAAATCTTTCACAGAGCAAAAAAACTACATGCATGTATGCGTCATATCAGTCCCTCTGCGGATTTTAATATGAAGTAGTCTTACATGGCCACTACGAAAAGAGATAGAGGCTACATACCCTACATTCAGTGGTCAATGCACCTTCCGTTGTGTCATCCAATGTGAGTTCTGGCAGCTAATCTATTTTGGATCATTTGGTGATACATAACGCCTGATCCAACTGGATTGGCGGCTGGAAGGCGGCAGCTTTGTGACCTAATTTAGGCCGCTCGCGCCCACGACGCAGTCTGCTTCTCTCTCGCGCGCGTGCTCTCTGATCATTCTCTAGCCTCAACTAGGTCACGAAGGCCCGCCTTCCAGCAGCCAGTCCAGTTGAACCAAAGTTACATGCATATATACATATAATAGAAAGATAAGCAATACGCTGGGAACACATGGCTCATGAGAATTTATCGATCATGATTGTTTGCGCTATTTTCCGCAAATTTTTGATTTTTATGCACAGAAGTGTTCTAGCAAATGATAATCTTGCAATTTGCTGTTGCCTCTTTAGACTATTTTTTTGTCTGCTATACTTGTCTTCTAAGTTGGAGAAATAATTTGTGCCTTTGTTTTTGAAATCATTGATCGTCGTATTAACATCATTCTTGCTTGGTTAAACTTATGAAAAAGCTTCTTAGTTTATTTGTGGTCGGCACTAAATAGGACAAAGTGATGCTTAGATAAAATTTTGTATTTTGAAAAATTTTGTGAGTCATAACATTGGTTTATCTGTAACGTTAGAAGTCCCAAAGTAGATCATCAACACTTGCACTTACGTCTTCCACAAAATTCTTTGTCTACTAACATTTCTCAATAAATAATTGAAAGCGATCAATTCTATACCTCTTCTTTTGAAAGAGCCCCAGGGGGAGTTTATAATCAAATCTTCCCGCCAATAGGGAACCTAACTGAGCCGAAGATAGCACTTCATCCTGGTCGTATCAAAAAGTCGTACGAAATCTTTGCATAACTAGTTGAATGGCATTGAACCAAGGAAAACATTGTGAAAAAGAAGAGCTCACACAATGCAAAAACTTCTTGTTTGATTGTTTGTTTATCACATCTGCGTCTCCATGGATACAGTATGGAGATACCTACACAGAACGCAGAACTATTCAGAAATCGAGGAAAGCCAAAAAGTGGATTGGAAAGGATCTAACAGTCTTACCAAAATAAAGTCATAATCTTTAGGTCATAAACAACAGCAACATACTTCACAAATTAGGTACGATTACTTCATACAGTAACCTGGGTACTTTTCCGTTATCCGGACCCATTTAAAAAAAAGGATATTGCTTCTTTTCTTGTACGAAATTTGGTAAAAACTTCATAGGATGGAGAGTCAACCTCCTGCCACATTCCAAAAAAATGACATCTCATCTACATGTTTGATAGGTTTTACCGAAAGTTTGTTTGGCCTACCTATTGATGTAAGTTCAATCTGTTCTTCATTTAATAATGATCGTTTTTAAGTCGGCAGTTTCATGAATGAGCTTCATCATTATGAAAATGACATTCTTTGTTTATTAAACACAGTAGGTAGGTTTCCCAAGAATAGAGAAGTGAGCTATTGTTCTATCATTGAACCACGAAACAATCGGCAGCCAGGTACTCCAAGCCATCATTTATATTCTTTCCTGGCTAAATTCGCATGACTGAAACAATGTGAGGATTAGGATCTCTTTGAATGATTGCTGGAAGCTGCCAAGATGTTCAAATAATAAAGCTTAGAACTGTTTTGCTTTCATGAGACCCCTGGACAGCTTCCAAGACATTTTAGAGGCTCTTGCACCTACCGGAAATGTTTTAGAAAACATGTCAAAGTGGCCCTAAACTGTTATTTTTTTGACAAATGGCAAAGGGACAGTTTTTACAGTCTTTTTCAACCCGGAGCAGGCGAAACATTCCAAGTGGAGCAGCGCATCCACACCGGCACTGGCTCAGCGAGACAGATTAGAATGAAGAGACAGTAAAGCGGCGCGAATCGTTTTGAAGCGGACTCCCGCCAGTCTAATTTCCGCCTAAACTAAGTTGAAACTTACTACACAAGATCTATGAAAAAGATTTCCAGACTGAAGCACGGTTTCATTAACTTTGAAAAATGGGTCCGATAACGGAAAAGTACCGTAACATGCTTCCTAAACTGGCTGCTCATAAAATAAGGAAAGGAAATACTTATCACAAACATGACGCATACTCCTCGCTAATTGATGGAATAACCATTGCATTCAATCTCAAATCTCAATAACACTTTCGTTTTACAAGAGCGCTAAAGCATGTGTTTTTCTCTTCACTCATTTATTGGAACAAAAGTTCTGTCGTACCATCTTCAAAAAATTGCTCATATACTATAAGATTTTAGCATGCATTCAATATATTTCGAAGAACAGATCATACGTTTTACAACCGCTTCAGCACGCTTCCCAGTACGCACATGTTGTGTAGAAGAAAGCGGTGAAAGAAAATCACTGAAATTTTTGACTTTCATATGTGTGATCATAAAAAATTTGAAACTCGCAGTATAACTGAAAGCATCAGCGTTATATTTTTTACTGCTTTTTTGAATGAGGAAAGTTTGTCCTGATTGGATTTGAACGAGCAGAAACGCAGATTTGATTTTTTGGCATAATTCTCAAGAAACAGAACTTTTTATAGGAACCTCTGACTAGCACAAAATTTGCTCATCAGAAGTTGGTGGAGAAACCTGTAATGCTGACTGCTTTAACTTTTACTGCAAGTTTCAGATTTTTTATGACCAACGGAAGGTCAGTTTGAGTTATTTTCCTACCGCTTCTATCTACGCAATGTGTGCCGAACAAGCGTGCTGTGTGCGTCATAAAGCGCATAATCTCTTCTTCACAATAAACTTGATATGCAAATTTGTTCAGCAATCGAGAGGATACGAATTTTTGAATGCGGTGCCACAAAATTTTCGCTCCAACCTCATAACATAAATTCGCTATCTGTTTATTCTTCTAGGAATTGCCATTTGATTGTCTACGAACGATTTAGGCCTTACTTCCTTACATCATCGATGTCAGTACGGTGGTGTGGTCCAACAAAGCTATGATATTCTGAGAAATCCGTTTTGATTTTCTCTTCTTACGCCTGATGTCGCGAGTGGTCTAACTTCATGTGCTGATTTCGGACTTTTCTTTTTCTTCTCGCTTGTTGTTTTCCAAAAGAAACCGATTAGTTTGACATTTATTTAAACTTTTGACACTCCATGACCGGGGGGGGGCAGCCAACATGAACGATAGCTTTGCTTAGGTCAATTTTCTTCCAGATTCTATATTTGCGCTATGATGATATTTAGAAATTTGGAAAAAGCGCTGGGGCTCAGTATGTCCTATGTAGTATTCGTACTGTTCGACACTTTTTCAACACAGGGATGAACATATTACCTCCAAAAGGAAAACTTCATGCGCGACATATTTTGACCACCGCCGGAGTACAGTATCTTTATCTCTAGCTATCGTTCATCAATGGCATATACCCTCCAAGGCCTTCGCAGGTGCATGTTTGACTTTGATAGAAATCAGAAAATTTTTCGCGAAGCATCACTCTCATTTTAAAAAATCGGGATCAAGAGAATTTTCTCTGAAGATCAACATAGTTTCTCACACCCTTCATAGAAAATGATGACTAGCTGCTTTTTTTCCGAATGTTATGGTCCTGCGTAATAAGCATTTCCAAGTATCTTCTGTATTTTCGGGTTCATTATAGATTTTAAAACTACGCAAAATTTAAAGTTATCCTTGAAAGTCTCTTTCCTGTTTGACGGCTCCATTCGTCTAAGTTGGAATGGCACATGTTTGTCCAAGGCACCTCAATCTTGGCTTACTTCTCTCTTTCCATTTTTATTGCACTTTTGCGGTAATATAGAACATATTCTTCTTATTTGCTAGAAAAATATAGTGAAGTACACACTATCACAATGGGAAGCGAACTTTGCCAGCTATGAAAGAGAGAATGTGAAGTTTCAAAATGTCGAAAAGTCATTACCACAAACTATTCAACTTTCAGATAAAAACTTTATGGTGGTACATATCAGTACCTTCCATTCGCCCAAGATTGGGTCTCAAAATTTTTGTGAATGGATTTCGGAATTTCTTTCGTTTCCTTCTCTCCTTCGCAAGAACATCCTTTGGATCGCTGCCTGTTAGATGTTTGTGTTTTCAATATCAAAACTCGGAAATACAACTTGAGCTAGGAATTCCTTCCAAACTATGAGCTTAATGGTTCCTCAGTTAAACTCGAGGATTGAGGAAAAACTCATACACTTTGGAATTTTCCGAATAGTTTTATGTGTGGTGCAGTGAAGAA